AGATACCAACATGCTATAGCACATGACACAACAGAATGTCTTGGCACCCTTCTACCAAGTGTCTTGGTACACTTCTCCAAATGCAGCAGCACACACAGGTAAAACAATACAGCTAAAGAAATTAATAATGATGTTTGTGACCTTTTTCACACACATAGTGCTGGAAACCTTGGGCTGTTGGCACAACCTTGACTTGGCACAGTGATGAGCAGTGGCAGCTCAGCTTCTGCAAGCAAAATCAGACAGGATATCAACTGACTGGGGTTTTTTTTCTTTGTTTATACAGTGACTCCCACAATGGAGCGGGAGGTCACCTGCAAACTTGAAAAAAATAATTATTCATAAAATAACAAGAAAACAAAATAAAATAAGAGAGTTTGCAGTTAGTATTTGCTGTATTCAAAATAATATGTAAAACTACTTAATCCATAATAGTTTTACAAACCTTGAGACTATAACAGATGTAATGCAGAGCTATAAGCTTGAATTATGTTAGTGTAGAACACCTTGTGCTCAACAGTTTTCTTACAGCAGGAGGAATATGGGGGGTGGAAGGGAATCAACCTTGGAATTACCTTGGGGTTTTTCCTGTTTCCCCATGGACAGACTTATCTCAAATTTTCTCAAATCTGGCTAGTTATCAGCACCAGCTGCCCTACACCAGCTCAGGTAGGTTATCTACTGAAGTACAATTTGAACCCACCTCATTTTTGTTCCATATATCATCAGATTCCAGCTTTTACATCCAATTATAGGCCTTCACATCACAGCAGATGTGAAAGTCTAAAACTTTGTAGACCTCTGCACAAGAAGGAAATTACAAATTAATCTCTCCAGTTGGCTCTAGGCATACAAAGCTAGACACTTGAAGCAGCAGAAATTTCTGTCTAAGAAGAGAACACAAGGGAAAATTATGACAAGATGTTTTCATGGCTCAGTCTGGCAAAAATTATATAGACAAAAAATCTGATGGTCAAATGATGCAGAAGAGTGAGAATCACATTCAGCAGATTGTCCCAACCCAAGCTTCTGCTCCATTGCAAGTGATGTAGGACAAGCAGCACTAGAGGTCAGTTTGACAGTGTATCTGCCAAATACTGAGAACCTTGGTGATAGCAAAAGGGCTGTTCCAGTGAAACCAAATAAACAGGCCTGCTTGGAATTCCTCTGCCTACAGCCAGCAAACACACTGTACCACTGTGGCTGCAAAAACAAACACCGTCCAGAGAGAAGCATGAACAGAATGAGGAGCTGGGAGTGACTCACTGGCGTATTAAGCCAGAATTGAACTTCTTGCACAAATATGAGTCAAACAGAATGAATCACAAAGAGAAATAGTAGATTTTTTCATTAATAATATAGTACCATTGTACTAACAGTGCCCAACTGCCTGCAGTGCCATGGCTCTGACACCTCCTAGCTGCTTTTGTTCACCCTCTCTGCTATTTTTGAATAAGAGAACAGGACTTAAGTCTCTGTACATTTAATACCAGGCAGAGCACTGAATGGCTCCTGTGGGTTGAAGACAAAATGCTCACAAATATCCAAACACTGTACAATTGTCTAATAGAAGAATATGCTCCTAGGTTGTGTACTGAAAGATTCCTCCAAAAGACTCACAACCCCTGAGGAGACTCAGCTCACGCTCTCTGATTTGGCCTTAGTGGGGAGATCTCTTAAGATCTCTTCTCTCATTGAGCATAAAAGCTGCTTCTTGAAACTCATTAAAGGTTTGTCTATGCACAGGTGAACTTGCTTTGCTGGGCAGAAACCACCTATCATACTCAGCAGCTGGTGGAGCTTTAAACCACTTCCAATCCACTTGTCACTGTCCAAGCTAAAACAGCAGCTGCTTGCTGTGGATGGGGAGCCAAAGGCTTGAAGGACTGCACAAACAAAAGCTGTAAAAAGTGTAACTAGCCACAAGGACAAAGGGATTTTTGGGATTTCCACCGTCCCCTATGAGCCTCTTCCACAAGAAGGCTGAGGTGAAGGTGCAGGGGCAGTGAACACACAGCCTATCCATCAGGTGGACAGCTCTGTAGCATCTTGGGAATAAACCCAGCAATCGCCACAATCTACTCCTGACACTTCTCTGAACAGGCAACAACACAAAATACAGCAACAGCACCTACTCCAGAAAACGTATTTTACTCAATTTCATGGTCATAACATCATTTTAGATTGGCAATTGCTTTCATCTCAAACTATCTAGAAATATATTGAAAATTCTACTGATGCATTCCTTGATCAACTTGCTTTGCCCAAATGCTGAACTTCTTTGCAGGATAAAAGTGCACATCAGCATTTTTTTACAATTATGGAATATAAAAGAACACAATACCCCACTGGAAGTGCAAAGCTTGGCAAAGCAGAAGACATTCAATCCATAATTCTGGGATTGTTTGTGAAAGGCACCATGAAATCCTGAGTGACCACATTAAACACAGTTAAATACATTTTCTTATAGCCTACTATAGAAACCAGTCTGAGCTGGCACATAAAGCCTTCAGCCAAATATTTTATATAGCTTCTAACACACTATATTTGTCTTTGGAAATTGGCAGTTTGCATTGACCATCAGTGAACCTTACTATTCAAGCAACCACATTTTCAGCTCATAACAACATACTTAGCTAGTCCCAAAAACTGAGTAGCATATGAAAAGATTCCTCCACAGGCTTTAGGAAACTATCATACCTTTTTAGGTATAATATTTTTTTCCTGGCACCATGCTTGGAGCAAGAAAGAAACAGAACTCTGCAACAAAGGTGATGATAAACTTAACAGCAGAACTCAAGATTACTCAGGTTGCTTTTACTGGTTAAAGAGAAATATGAAAGCAATCTAGAAGTTTTATTTCAGTGAAATAGCAGCCAAGATTGTGATGAAGAATTACCTGGATTAGGCTTTAGGTTATTTTTTTCATTTCATAAGAGGTCATTAACAAAGCACAGGGACAAGACTGTATAAAATCAGATTTAGCCACACATTATTACAGTGTATCAAGGCAGAGCCTTTGCTTCCTCCTGTAAAATGTGGGAGAGTGGGATAAATGTGACAGCAGCACAGCAGAGCACTCCCTAAAGCAGCTTTTAAAACTCTCCAGGTCCTTTAGCTGGACTCAGCAGCTCAAAGCCCTGGAGGGAACCCTTCCCCAAAGTCCATGGCAATTATAGGTTTCTTGGCAGGTACTGAGCTCTAAGTCGCTCAAATTCCTACTGGTATCCAAACCAATTGCTTAAAGGATAAAAGTAATTTCATTCCAAAAGAGCTTTCATTCAGAAAGCAAATTATCTCCTACAGGTGAAATGACAACATGAAAATTTGGGGAAGTTGTTTCAATGTTCTCCAGAAAGACAAATACTTCATGTTTAACTCCTAATAAATTTCATTTAAAATTAATCTCAGGCTAAAAACATCACTATTTCTGCAACTGGTGTCTTGAACACATTTTAATTGCCAATAACCATAGCCAAATCAGCATATAGAATATGTGAAGACTGCAAAGGGTTTGTAGTTGTATTGATTCACCTGGGAACATTTCACAGGGCTGAAATAGCAGGCTGAGGAATACAACATATTCCTCAGGATACATATATATCAAGTGTAGAGACCTAATTGAGGAATATCAATAAAGAATAATCTATTGAATAAAAAAAAACCTGTTCCTCATAAGTCAGGTGGAGACTGACCAGGAAAGAAGAGATGGTTTACCACATGTAAAATGCCTCATCTGTCCAAACTTTATAGCCTCTCTCTGAATTTCAAATTTGTTTTAAGTGCATTAGATTCTGAAGGATTTGGAGTGGCGGGGGGAGAATCAAACAACGGAAATTTAATACTTTTTATCAATTCAAGTGCCAATCCACCTATCTTCATCTGGACTCACTCATAGCCCTTTTTACTAGTTCTGATGGCACACTCTCCCTTTCTCTAAAGCAAACTTCTCTGCCAAATATTTATTCCCTGTTACAAATTTCAGAGGAGGAAAGGAGTCAGTGTGGGATGGAAATGCTAACAGAAATCCAGTAGGAGTTGTGTGCCTTTGAAAATGCACATTTCCACCAGAGTAATGTGAGACAAACTGTTGGTGGGAGGGATACAAGCTTTGGGAGAAGGAAAAGGAGTCAATTGCCAGCTCCACTTTTGAGCTGCTTTCCTCCCTCTGCTATCCAGGATTTACCCACACATTTAACTATCAGTATTCACATCTTAAGCCCCAAGACACAATTTCACTTGCCTTCCACTGTGCACATTCCCTGTCTGGAATCTCTCACCAGGTGCAAGAATAGAGCCCTCTGCAGTCTGCTGGTGCAAAACACCATCAAACCACTCCTCAGGTTTGGCAGCAGGAAATTTTGTTCCATCCCTCAGCAGGGAGAATGTCAAAAGAAAAACAGAATGCATCTTCATGGTGGCTTAAAGCATGCATCTCTCATTCTCTTTTCCCTTGATAGTATTCTCCAAAAGAACATGCCAGCAAAGCAATAAAAAAAAAAAAATTTAAATACAACCAAATCTCTCAACAGGGAGTAATTACAAAAAAACCTCAGATTGCTTATAGAAAAACTGAGCTCATCAAGTTCTTAACCAGTATTTACTGCCAGACTTCTAGCTGAATATTTTTTAAAAGCCAGTGTGAATTTCTGTATTTCTCCTTTTTATGTGTTAATATAGAAACAATACAGCTGATCACTAGGAAAGAGGGCATTTTCCCTCTTGCTATAATCAAACAGGAAAAGGTTCTTAATGCCTTTTTCAATGTTTCATGTTTATACCTCTGAAAGAGAAAAAAATTGACCAGTTTTCACCGAATGAATACTTTAGCCAGGACTTATTTTTTTGCACTTTTGTGCTCAGGCTGGCACTTCAGACCCAAGGCAGACCCACTTTGTTCAATGCTGCAGCTGCAATACAACAAAGAGAGAATTTCAAAGTACCCACTAGACTCAGCTCCCTTTGGAAAGGTGGAGGGGAGGGCTCAGCATGGCACTTACTTTTCACTTTTCAGGCACCCGTAGAACCCAGCCATGGTGTTTCCAGGGAGGCTGTGTGCATTCATTCACCCCTGGGTGGGGATGCCAGCACAGGGCTCTGCCCGCACACGCGAGAGCCCCGGCAGCTCCAGCCCAGATAAAGTTCCTGATCCCAGGCACTCAGACTCTGCTGAACTGGCTCCAAGGAGGGCTGTGCCTGCTCCATAAATGGATATGAATTGTTAACTCCCCCTTTTCCTGTCCCTTTCCAGCTATTGGTACGCACAGCATCCGAAGTGTAAAATGCCATATGGCGTTTGATTCCGTCTCCCTGTGGGACTAATAAGAGGCTTGCTTATAATTAGGATGTGGAGAAGCCCTGAGGAGATTAATTGTTATTGTTATTTTTTTAGACAGAGGAAAGCTACAGAAAATACTTGCAACAGCTTTGAAATAATGACTAAAAGCTGCAGTTATTCTCTGGCTCAAAAGGGGAGCACAGGATCTTTTCAAAACAGGCATTATCCCAATTCACTGTAAATCACAATCTATTCTAACGTTATTCTGCACATTAACAGGAAAAAACCCCAAACATATTGCATCCCTGCAGTATTGCAAGGTCAGGCAAAAAGCTCTAGAGTTTAAATTAGCCAGCACACCCATATGGCAGAATTACAGCCTGGTGATGACCTCTGACAATATCCTAACAATTGCTACTCACTGTCACAACTAAGGAGGCACTCACTGGGTGTGGAAACAGGTAAATGCTGGGGAACATAAACCTCAAGGTGCCTCTTTCACAGGGGTGACCCAAGTCCTGGGGACAATATTGCTGTACTAAACATTTCTGGCATTACATTGCATTAAAATCACATGGAAGTGAATTTGCATCATGGCTATCAATGACCTTTGTTGAGGTAAAACCAAAGAGGCAACACATTGCTGGTGCTGCCTGCACACAGGAAGGGAGCAGCAGCCACTGCCACAGCCTGAGCCTGCTCCTGCACTCACATGGCTTGCTAAGAATATCAGCTCCAAATTAAAAAGTGCATGGATATTTAAAATTAGGAGGTTCATAACTCTCATAATAGAAAAGTAAAGATTTACAGTCATTCTTAGAAGATCAGAAGAAAACCACATTTATTTGTATTTCTCAGCTGATATATAGTGTTTGAATACTTGGGTCTGGCAAGCCATTAGGAGGAAGTATTATTAAGTATTTTTATATGAGTTTCTTAAAGACATTCAGTGGAGAAGTCCTTTTTGAATACTTGGAAAAAGTACTTTATTTTAATACCTTTCTCATGAGAGACACATATGGTTTGAGAAATGGACTTCTTGTGAAGGAGTCCCATAAGTGGCTGAGCTGCAGCAGTTTTCTAACAGTGCAGAAGTTTGACATCTGTGAATGGACAGCTCCATTTCTCAATTTTCTATAAAGGTCCCTACACAAAGGAAAGCTTTCACACAAGTATCAGATGACAATTGCAAAGGCCATCACAAACAGGAAACAAATCATACTCTAGTCCAGTTTCTCACTTAGCTGGAAAGCAAAAGCCTCTACAAGCAGCCAACTTCAATGCCATCCACAGAGTACATTTGCATTTGCAGATCAAAGCTGACCTCAAGAAGATATAACACGTTTTCTGTCTCTTGGGGAAAGGCAAAGCAGTAAAAATACAGTAGCATTAGTGGAAGTTCAACCTGAACAAGTTTCACTGTTGGGAATTACTGCACTTGTCACGATGACTTCAGGCTGAACTCTTAATCCCAGCAGAAAAAAGATCACTAGAGAGCATTAATCTCCATCCATCAGACAAAGCCCATAGGGGAAAAAAAAATAACAAAATCAAGGCTTCAGTTATTGGGCAACCACCACCAGGAAGGAATTCCTGGAGATTACTGGAGAAACATTCTGACTGGCTTAATGCACAAAACCTTGGATGTAGGACTGCATCTGAAATCTGCCTGGCATCTTGTTCAGAAAAATGCTGCCAACAGAAACATTTATATTAGAGTAAGAAATGAAGAAGACCTCATGAGAATTTCACATTTATTTTTAAAATCAAGAAAGATCAAATGGCCTTCCAGTGGGAAGGCACAGTCCCTAAAGCTAGTGGAAGGGTGTAATCCTGATGATTTTGGAATAATTTCATCACTTTAACTGGCATAGAACACAGCCTGGAAGCTTTAAAAAAAAATCAGCATTTTTGCTAACAAGAAGCAGATTTCCTGTCTCCAAACCCCCTCAGATGGCTTGCCTTCAGAATATGCTTCCTTTCAATATTGTTTCTTTCCTTCATATATTTTTGTCTTGAAGTTACTTACCTGAACATGCAAAACTTCATCTGTTGGCTTCCATTTAGTCATAGTCCTGTTCTCAGCAACCAGCAGCTAGCAACACACATTGCACCATCCCAAAACCCCCTTACTTTCCAAGAAGCACAGGCTAGTAAACAGTCATTAAAAATAATTATCCCACCTCAGGATTTAATACTTTTTGATTCTCTATCTTCATATCTCCCTCGAAGGTACATCATGCTAGATTTATTATTAACTCCTCTGCCTCTTTATCACCAGCACAGCTTCAAATGGCTACACACTGAGCATTTTGGGTACAGCCCTGAAATCTTAGATGTTGATAAACATCAGAGCTCTATGTCCACAGGCAAATCAGTGCAAGCAAGCAGGTATGAGCTGTACCTGCTCTGACAGCCAGACATCACTGCACTGACATCTGCTCCTCACTCATCAAGTGCTGAAGTGAATGGGCTGCTCAGTTAATTAATTTATACTGTTTTCAGCTGGGAGGTAAACAAACACTAAATAACCATGGACTTCAGCAGAGTAAAGATGGTTCTTCAAAGATAGAGAAGACAGCAAGTTTAAACACCTGAAATTTCAGATCTGGAAATCAGATCTGGATTGCCTCTAAAGTTTGTGGCTTGGCTTGATTGAAATAGCCTAGTTTAGGCCTACTTTCATTTGAAAATCATGGTTTTCTTCAAACTCATTGTCATGGCTTTCCCTTAACAGCCCAACATTGCAGCAGCCCCCTGCACCTCCAAATCACTGCACACCCACATCACTGCACACCCACATCACTGCACACCCACATCACTGCACACCCAAATCACTGCACACACAAATCACTGCACACCCAAATCACTGCACACACAAATCACTGCACACCCAAATCACTGCACATCCAAATCACTGCACACCCAAATCACTGCACACCCACATCACTGCACACACAAATCACTGCACACCCACATCACTGAACACCCAAATTACTGCACATCCACATCACTGCACACCCACATCACTGCACACCCAAATCACTGCACATCCAAATCACTGCACACCCACATCACTGCACATCCAAATCTGCAGGGAGAACAAGCAGTCCCAGGGCAGCCTGTCCTCCCACAGTGGTACCAGCAGCAAGCTCCCAGCACCTGGTAAACTTCCCAACAAGTTTCTTAATTTCTCCAAAGGGAACAAGGGAGGCAAGACTGAGCAAGGTCCACCCAGCCAACCATTAAGAAATCCTTGCACCAAAATACAGCTCCTAAAATCATCAAGCTATTTATTTCACATGCACTTGAGTCATTGCAAAAAGGGCCTCTTCAACTTAAGTAACCAACAGCAACTACTAATCCAATGGAGGAAACTCAAATACACTTATATTACAAATACCCAGGGTACATGCCAACAGCCTGAGAGCTGAGGTGTTAGAGCTACACACACAGCCAGCAATCCTGAGTAGGTTTCGTGTCCAACAGAGCTACTGAGTTTCTTGCAGCCTCTTGCCACTGGATCTCTAAGGGCAAACCCCTCCCCAGCTCCCTGACTGCAAACACCTCACATTTTGCAAAGTGCTCATCCAAAGCCTGCATGGCAGCAGGACACACAGCAGCAGGAAGGGACCAGATGACACACAGTTAGGAAATCATGCGTTTCACAAAATGTGTTTAAGCAGGAGTGTTTGGTTTACATTTTTAAAAATTTATTTTCAGAAAGGGACAAAAGTTTCATTTGAGCATTTCACTAAACAAATTTAGAGGTAGGAGTAAAAATCCTACACCAAAGTGATAGATTGTAGCATTTCAGATTTCCAGTATATTTTGATGTCTCTGAACTGACTTCTTAGCAAGGTAAATGTCACATTGTGATCGGATGAGCCATCATATACAAATCTTTGAGCCACTTGGGGTTTAAGGCATGAAGATTCTGTGTGCTCCTTACAAGCATGTCACATTGGTACCCCTAGCAATACTTTGCAGCAATGTGACAACATAAATGTGGCTCTCAAGAAACCCTCTGCTGAAGAAGAAAGGGATTCAGCTTTCCTTCAAGTGAAATTTCCAGGCTGGCAAATTGGCCAGGCTTAGAAATTTTGTGTGAAAACTCTCCATTTCTAAAGAAACAACTAATCACATATCACTGTTAAAAGCTGCACTACCAGAGCTTTAAACAACACAGTGGTCTGCAGACAACAAAGAAGTGGAGATAAGAGGATTTCTGCCTTGCAGAGTTTGTACATCCATCTGTGATTAATATAATGAGGAAAATAAGGGTCAAAGCCTATCTCTGAAACTGAAAGTAGAGAGTGTAGTCAGATGCATTCAAATATGCACTATTTCATATTTTTATTAATGTGTATATTTACATATGTACAAATAAATACTTCATGCCAGAAGAATTTGCCATTATATTTGCTCTGGAGTCTAATTACTCTATGCTGCTTTAATGATGTGTGTTTTCACACTTTGTGAACAATGTATGGGATTTGGGGGATTTTTGTTGTCATTCCCTGTTAGAGGGACTTCTTGCAGTCTCCTTCAATAATAAGAATAATTTAATCTCTTTGATTCCAGTGTTTGGTAATTTTAAGTCTTCATTGTTTCTTGCAGTTTATCACAAACACACTGTCTTCTCCTCTGAGGAAGTGAAGAAAAACTTTGGTATGTGATATCCAGTGCCTCACTGAATTCTAAAATATGGCCAGAAAAATACTGGCACTCCAAATCTATCCTTTATGCCCCCCCAGCCAAATGTGAACTCTTCCTGGATTAACTGGAGATGAAGGTCAGGCCATGTGTCATTCAAAAGGTAATTTCCTCTAGATTTGCAACAGGATCACAGATGCAACCTCAGACTTCAGTGACAGGAAATATCAATTGC